CTTTCTCCTTCGACGTGGGAAACGGTCCGGCGGTCCTGTCCGTGAAGTCCCACGTCCCTCTGAATGACAGGCAGTGGCACTACGTGAGGGCGGAGCGCAACGCCAAGGAGGCCTCCGTGCAGGTCGACCAGCTCCCCCTCCGCTTCCTGGAGGCTCCGGCTGACGGACACCTCCGCTTACGGCTCAGCAGCCAGCTGTTCGTAGGTAGGCTGAGATCACACCCACTCCACTACTCAGGTCTGCATTAAAGGACTTTTAAACAGGCAGTGCAGAAACATGTAAACATGCCTTTGTAGAGAAATGCTCTCCCTGGGTGCTCTATTATGAATACATGTTAACTTCTCATACATGCAGTTATCCAGTCAGCCTGCAGCAGTGACCCCTGAGGTTTCAGGTCAGCAGGTTCAGGTAAAGCTGTGGTACGAAGTCATTTTTGGCTCTCGCTGGTCAAACTTTGGGCATATCGTTATTCACAGAGCCTGAGAGGAAACGTCCACACCTTCCTGTTTCATAGAACAACGCTGCCGTCAGAGGCTTCGTGTCACTTGTTTTGCTTATTTGTTTTAATGCTTTGCTAATATCAACATGGAATAACTGGTCCGTAAGCAGGTTCTGTATAAAGATGGGATTTTCTGGGATGAACAGCAAACTAGGAGAACTCTGGGAGATGGAAAAACAAGAGAAAGGGAAGTTTGACTTTATATTTTTACCCTGCTCAAGTAAATCTCAATAAATCTTAAGAAAGTACTTGTGTTGCACTGTGCATTCACTCATGAGCTGCTGTAACAGGAGTCACATGGCTGGACTGCCTCCTCAGCATGCAGTCAAGGCTTGCTAATGTTATTCAGGTGTGTTGCAGCAGGGACGCCGGCCCTCGAGCACTGGAGCTTTGCACCTCTGACCTGAGCTTAGCAATAAGCCTGAATTCATTTAGTCACTGTTCATTTTTATTTCTTGAGGTCTTAAATGGCTTAAAAAGCATTGATTTAGGATTTTTCAAATCCTGCAGAAATCCTGGAGGGGAGATTACTCCTGCTGGCTGTTCTACAAGTGCAGCTGGAAAGGTGGGAAACCTGGTTTAGTGGCAGCAAACCACGTTACTGCGACGTGGCAACAGATATCGTCTCTGGCTGTTGAAGGCACGACATGCTGTCAGACAGCAAGTTGCATCGTTATGAGACAAGTGTGATAAAAGCATGTCGTTCCTGCTGTGAAATACTCAGATGTCATTTCTATTTTCTGAGCTCACAGATGTGAACTTTTGCCAATAATCTAGCTTTTCGCTAACTGAAGAATCACTTCAGCTTGTGGACTGCAGAAGTGTGCATGTCAGTGCTTCACTGTGTGAGGGGATTAGAACAGAGAGGGCGGAGCTGCCTCCGATGCCCACAGTAAACGCTGCATTCATCCTGTTAGTTTGATCTTTTACTTTGACCCGACTGGGCTGAGTGTTGGTGACACTGGTAGTCTTCACCCCGTCTCCAGGGCTGCAGCCTGGCAGCACGGTGGTGTGATGGTGATGTTCTCTTTGATGCTTGTGTGCTGTTGCTGATACTGAGCACTGAGCGTGTGCAAGCACAGCTAGTAGCTGCTGAGCTTTTTTGAATATTACAAATATATTTGTAATTAAACAGACTTTTGGATAAATGTGTTTTATATCTGCTCATTTATTTGTTTTTCTAAAACTGTTGCTAGACTTGCTCTTGTGTCGTTATCGTCCATGTTGCTTGTTATCATCATGGTTTGGGGTTTCTGTTAACTTCCTGTTTTATTGTGTACATACTCTGCCTCCACCTTCGCTCCCAGTGCGTCTTGCTCTGCTTGAAGTGTCGTTCTAGCCGTTTCCTTGCCAGTTCGTTCAGTTCACAGAGTTTTTCCAAGTCGCTCCTTGTTGTCACAGCTCAGGTGCTCAGCCTTTCCGCTACCTGGAAATCCATCTTTGTCACTGTCGAGTGGTCACCTACAGGCTCTGCTGCTCACAGCTGCAGACATCGCCCTCCACCATTTTTGATGGATGTCTGGACTCTAGTCTGACTGTGCAATGACACAATCTTATCTTTACCTTCTTTTTGCATTATTGTGAAAATGATCCACTTGCTGTCACTTGTTTTTGCTTTTCTGTAAATTCTTTGATTTTTTTGCCCCCTGCTGCCATCAATGAATCATTGTTGCCCCAGCAGATGCTACCTCAGTTCCCTTTGTCACGTTCCACTTTCTCTTAGCAGTGCCTGGCATTGAGCTTTCCTTGTGTTTCCTTGTGAAATCTTTGCAAAAAGGATTTCATCCTTGCAAATCAGCCCCTTGCCATTTTTCTCCCCTGAGTCAGACAGATGTGTTTGCATTTCGCTGTGTCTCGTGTCCTGTACTTGGGCCTGCACCCTGTGGATCGTTACAGCTTTAGGCCCAAACTTCATGAAGCTGAATTGAGCTGAAGTGAACATGAAGCTCGGCGGGGGGGGCGTCGTCTGACAGCAGCGTCGCTGTTTCCTCTCGATGTCCACTCTGACAGTCACAGGAAGGATTTATCTGCTCACAGCCAGGATGGAGAGGAAATGTAATTACAGCAACAAAAGCTCTTTAAATACACATACATCATCGGAGTGTTGTATTAAGATCTGCATTGCTCTGCTGTTAAGCCAATTTCAAATGTATTTGATTGTTTTTTCATGATTGGTCTTGGTCAGCGAGCGTGTCTGCTCTCTTCCTCTCATATTTCTGCAGCAGCCGTTCACACGCTGACATTTTAATCTCTCTGCTTAATAATAAAGAGAGATCCCATTAAATTCTGTTTTTTCCTCACCTAATGGATCGTTCACCTTCTGAAATCGTTTGTTAGTGAGAGGACAATCGATCTTCGGTGGATCTCACAAGAAAAACATTATCTTTTGAAGATTTAATTTTCATAAAGCGCAGGAGTGATGTTGAGTTTGGTCTCATGCTAACATGTGACTGTGTCTGAAATGTCGTTTCCTGCTCTTGTGGGAGGAGATAACAACACTTCACAGAGACAATATTAGAGTGAATATTAAAAACAGCAGCTTTGATGTTTCCAGACAAAAATAACAGCCTTGATTAGAAGCTTTGTAAATATAAAGACAGTGTGTGTGTAATCATAAAGAAACAACGTGTGATTCTCTGTTTCACGGCCTCGCAGGAACATCTGTGAGCTTCCGCTGCACGTCGTGGAAAAGGACTGATGTGCAGACTTTGAGTTCATGGACCTTGCAAAATCCCCAAAGCTCGACTGCAAACACTTTCTAAAGTTTGGCCCAGAGTTGGCTCACAGCTCGCTCACAATGCAAAGACTTGAAGCTGGTGCTGTTTTGTCAGATGAAGCTGAGAATCACTTTTCTTTAGCCTGTAAAGTGTGGCTGTGGCTGTGCTCTGCATAAAACACGTGCGCCTAAGTTTCAGCTTCAAAGCTGAAAATCCAACTGTGGATATTTGGACTTTACATTTTGCCAGGATGGACGTTTTTAATCGCTGATATAAAGACGAGTTTATGTCACACTGTCCATGCAATCGCTCTTTTCCATTATTTTATCCATTCAGCAGCTTTACAGGTAGATGTTTGCGCAGTGTTGCCTTCAAGGTTCAAACATGGCAAATTTATGTTCCCAATGAAAAGTTTCACACACAGATAGAAAAATGGAAAATGAAGGCTTAGAGGGAGGAGAGTATTTACATGAACCTGATACTCGACACGTGTTTGTTAAAGCACTGGGATCCATCGAGTCCATTCACTCAAATGTTGTTGCTCTGTTTTTCAGTCGTGTGCTAAACTCGCTGAACGTTTGTCCTCCACACAGGCTGTACTTTACATACTGGTTCTACTTTTATGTCATCATGTTCAGATTACACTTTTATTAAACTGAATGAAAACAAAATGCCTGTAAGAGACTTGGCAGCTTCTAAAATTGTGTTTATTTCAGATGCTGCTGCTCACTGCTGAGCTGCCACGTGTAACCAAGAAGTGTAACAGTTACACTGGTGCCAGTTTAAGGTTTGAATCCTCCGGTCAGCCCAGTGCCAAACACACAGAGCCCCACAATGTCAGCGTGTGCACAAAAGCTAACACAGCTCCCACCATCACAAACATGCCTTATTTCACCAGAGATTTCACCTGAGGCAGCTCATTACGAATGCCTGCTATATATATAAATATAGGCAGAGCCTCAGTCGATGTGGAACAATACAGGATTTAACAAGTATCATCTGTCAGCCTCGGGGGATCATGAAAGGAGATTATATTCACACGTTTGTATTTTTATTTCTCAGATCAATTATTTTCAATCTCAAGTCATCCGTCTTCCACCTTCAGAAAGGAGAAATTTGTCACGAGTCATATTTCTTCTGTCCTGTCTCGCCCACAACACCTCGTCTATCAAATTATACATTTATATATCAGTTTGGTGATGTTTCCTGAACGCGCACAGCACCTCTAAACATGCAACAGTTTTAAGGTTTGCGTCCACCTCTGCGTGTAGCGACCTAGCATATCCACGTAGCTCAGGACAGCCGAGCTCTGCTTTCTGAAACTTCTTTAGCGTGTGGCTAAAACACAAGCTCATCTTGACTTCATCGCTGCGTAGCTCACTGGCGACTTCGTGGATTTAACATTCAGTTTTAAACGAACCCTGATTTTAAAGTTGCTGCAGGGCGTTATACCACCACATCACCTGTGCATCCTAAATGTGTGTCTCAGGAGGAACGGCGTCCCAGCAGAGAGGCTTCCTGGGCTGCATCAGGTCTCTGACCGTCAATGGTGTCAGCTTCGATCTGGAGGAGAGGGCCAAGATGACGCCGGGAGTGAGCGCCGGCTGTCCCGGCTACTGCACCGGATCCAGCAGCCTCTGCCACAACCGAGGGAGGTGCGTGGAGAAAAGCAACGGCTACATCTGTGACTGCTCACAGTCTGCCTACGGAGGAACCACCTGCAACCAAGGTGAGTCCTTGGAAACAACCGTGCAGGCTGCGTAATTCATTTAATTGAATGATGTTGATTCTAACAAACAGATGATCGATCACCGTCGAGGTTATTCCATTACAGGGAACCGATAGCAAATGCAAGTAATGCAGAAGGCAATTAATACCTGTCCTGACTCCAGCTCCAAGAACATTTCAAATGCATTAGAACAAATTATCTCATGCAGTCTGTGAGCAGAGAAGAGAGCAGACACAATCACAACAAAAACCCATCAACAGCCAGCACAAATAGCAGAGGAGCAGGCTGTGAAAACAAGCATATGGATGCAGTACAAAGAAACAAATTGAACATACATTCTGTGGGAACAGAGATGAAAAGCCTGGCTGCAAATATGCCTGATCACAGAGTACAATTTACGCTGCTCCGTCCTGTCTGGAATGTTAACCTGTTCGCTTCAAAGATGCTGCTGGTTTCTTACAGCGAGCCGTGGTTTGGCTGTTTCTGCAGGCGTGGTTTCAGCTTCATCTCGCTCTGCGTGGGAGTGCGAGCTTTTGAAGCAGATTTTCAAGCACTGCATATTCAAAGTTTTGTCATGTGGAAACAGTTTAAATGCAGTGCTGTTGCATCTGAAAGGATCATTCCCGATTATTTAATGTTGCCGTGCTTCCATTGTGTCTCTATTGCTGTATAAGTCACACTAACGTGTGCTGCAGACGTTCAGGGAAACAAAGTCACACTAACAGTTTGTCACTGAAAGCTTTTTCCTCTCTGCAGTGTGAGTGAAAGCAAACAAAGAGCAGACATTTAGCTGCATCCCCATGTGCTCGCCAGCTGACTGACATATTCATCTGCACATGCTCGTCTGTTCTCAGTGATAGTGATACTTTGAGTGCGTGCTGGAGCTCTAACCAATGAGCTTCTTCTCCTTGCTGTAACAGCTTTACCGATCACATGGAAATCTTTGTTTTGAGTAGTGACTGCAGCAGCTTGAGTTTCGCGCTTTCTCAGGATGTCCTGTTGTCTCTCCCACTACATTTAGCTCCTTCTCTGTCCTGGTAATGGCCCACTGTGTAACCCCACAGGTAGATGTGGTGCCAGTGACCCATCGCTTAGTAAAGTTCTGTCTTCAAGCCTCAAGCAGATCCTTTTGGTGTGTTAAAACAGGAAGTGACACAGAGCAGATCAGACCGTGAAGCAAAGTGACGCTGGCCCCTCCTCACAGCTCGTCACTTACATGGTCAAAGGCGCACGCTGACTCCAGGGTCCATCAGTTACAAAGTGACGTTCGTGTTGTATCAAGTAAGACTTCAAACCAGAAGCTGAGAATATTTTCATGTATAAATCAGGTTTTTGGAGAACTGTTCATTTCCTGAGCCTCCACAACACGTGGTCCCTACAGATACGACCCTGGGAATCAAAACGAAACTACTGCAAAATCACCTCAGTTACATAAATCAGAACTAGCCCTAAAGCACAAAGACTGAAGGAATACAAAGTAGCAGTATTGATTCATTTTATCCATGTATATCCTGTCTACCATAGAGTGCATGTTGCGTTTGTGTTCAGGAGTTGCAGAGATTTAAATGAAAGTGCGTTTGCTTCATGACAGAACGGAGCCAGTTTCATCTTCTGTTCTTTACTTAGTGTAAACGCTTTTGTTGAAAGCCGGGCACCCAGCAATGACATGCAGCTGAGCTGCTGCTGACTACAGATTATCTGCTTCAGTGGTGTGTGCTAGCAGCAGAGACTGTAGCACTGCTGACACACTCACTGCTAACGTGTCGCTGCAGCAGCACACTGAGATGGTGGGTAGACACAACGCGGATCTCATCCCACCCACTCCCCAACACGTTCTGCATTTCATTTGAGCGTTAAGTTATGGTTTGCTTTTTAACCCAGACAGTAAACAAGCTAGCAGCGCAGCCTCAGCACCAGGTGCTGCAGTCAGGTCCTCTCAGGCTCCTGCAGACGAACCTGGTTCCAGCTTGTTACTCGTCTTTCTCGAATGAGTGAAAGAATCAGCTGAACGCACACTGATTGAAATGCATTCAAATATGGATTTTAAAGCCAATATCACTATGTGATTGGATTATTAGTTAAGTGTACATAACAATTAATGGAAGCTTAATTAAGCTTAATTTGATTAATAGTTAAAAACAAGTCTGGTGTTCAGTTCATCCAGGCTTTTGCTGCAGCGTATCAAACAAACACAGTCATGAATAGAAAGGTTTAAAAGGAAACTTGGACACATATATATATTTATATGTGTGTGTATACATATATCTACTGAAACGTAGGCAGTTTTCATTAAGCATGAAGGTATTTGGGAAACTGTAAAACTGCAAATGTGATCATCTTCTTTTTGGAACCTGCTCAAATTCCAGATTTCCTGCAACAATAAAAGTTCAGTGAAGCTTTGATGAAGTTAATGCAAACAGTTCCTGCAGGTAATGAGCCGCACACTGGTGCAGGGGAACCAGACGGTTCTTCTGGTGATGGAAGACAAACATAGTGTGAGGAGTCAAACCACTTGCAGCTGGTCTGAGGTGAACGGTGCAGACGAGTGTAGGTGTAACACAGATATGAGCTGTTGCCCAGTGACCACACTGTGACCACACTGTGACCACACTGTGACCACACTGTGACCACACTGTGACCACACTGTGACCACACTGTGACTACTCTGAATATACCGAATGAAAATCAAATAATACTGTCAGTGAACATTTAGTATTAATAATGCAAATGCAGTTACACTGCAGTGGAAATTCATATAAATGAAAATGTGATAATATTGTAAACGTACCTATTAGCTACCTGCTAGCACTGAGTGAGCAGCCTTTATACATTATTGTATGTCTGCACCTCGTAGCTTTAATAAAGTGAGCACGGGGAAAGACGCTGTCGACCCTCCTCACTGTGCTTCGCAGGCTTGTTTTACGGTTGTATGGTCGAGTGTGAGAACTGCAACAGTTTTACACATCAAAGTTGTTTATAGGTCTCTGGGAGTGAGGCTGCATTTGTGGGAGAGAAAAATATTTGTGGGCACAGAGGGAGCCGTGTGAAGTCTGATAAATTGCCCCGAGTGGTGAAAACAGCACGAATATCATGAAATAGTAGAATGAGTTTTGCTGCAGCCTTGCTGTGCTGGATGGACACTGAAGCTGGGCTATTTTTAGGTAAGCAATGAAATCCAGTTGATACTGAATAAACCACATCTGAAGGAGCTCGCTGATTTTGTCTCGCTGATTATTTATTGAGTTATTTTTCTTTAAAGGCTGAATCAGCACCTGAACGCGTCTCTTCTGTTTCCCCGTGTCTGCACAGAGGTGTCTGTGTCCTTCGACAGAGAGTCCTCCGTCACCTACACCTTCCAGGAGCCCTTCTCAGTGATGCAGAACAGAAGCTCTCAGGCCTCCACCTCCTCCACGGACAGCAGAGCCAGAGAGGACGTGGCCTTGAGCTTCGTCACCTCCCAGAGACCAGCCATGCTGCTCACTGTCAGCACCTTCAGCCAGCAGTACATCGCTGTCATCCTGGCCACAAATGGTACGTACAGGAATCACACGTGGAAATGTTGTAGTTGTGCAACCGTGTTCTTTGTGAATGCAAACTTTAAAAACATGAACATGCTTCTCGTAGGCAAAGAAGCCGCGCTGAATAACATCCTGGTATCTGAAGAACTACAGCAGTTCTTTCACAGTATGGGAGGAAAAATTTGTTTTGACTCTGTTTTTATGAATCAAGGTTCACTTTGGCCCCGTAGCCCTCTGACTTGGATTCCTGTGTAGTTATTTTGAGTATGTGTTGATCACAGAGCAATCTGGGCTTTGTTCTTAAGAGCATCAAGAGACAAATGTTTGTTTTACAGTCCAGGTGGGGAATTTTGACACGTGAACAAAGGGTGAGTTCAGCGTTCGGGTGGTGTTATGCCCCCAGAAATGTGTTCTCTTTATCTCGCTATCGTAGCTTAGAGCGGTGTGTGTATTTTCGTAACCATGACAACACGAGAGCAGTTTACGCTGAGAGTCAGGAAGTGAATCTACTGTGTGACTCGGGATATTAGCGTGTGGGCTCATTCAACCGCCAGCTCCGCCGTTACAGGATTAATCCTTTTCTCTTCGCTAAGGCATAGTCTTTTCATAAAAAGTGCCCAGTAAAAACTTCTGGAATCCAATCGTCTGACTCCTGGAGATTTTCTTGGGAGTGTTTAAGCTGAATGGAAACCTAGCCTATTACAGTGAAAAGACTGCAACGCAGCTAATAGGGATATGAGGATCGCCACTGTACGGAGCTACTCATTATTGAGAGATAAGCAGCCTCCAATATAGCCTCGGAAAACTTCGCCGCAGCCCACATCTCCCAATACCGGAGATCCAACGGCACGCAATGTCACAACGTAGCAATGCTGACAAAGGAATTGGAGACAACCAGTCAGAGTGTGTGCGCTCAAGGAGCAGTCGCTCATCTGGTACATCGTCTGGCTCAAAAATCAGCATAGCCATCGCCATGGCAAAAGCAAAGGCTGAAGCCGCGCAAGCTAGAGCGGCACATTCAAAAAGATAAATCGAGCTTAAAGTGGAGCAAGCACGTATTGAAGCCAGCCTCGACGCATTAATCGACGAAAAGGAAAGGGATGCCGCCGTTGCAGAGGCGAACTCCCTAGTAGCTGGTCTACAAGATATGGGTCTCAAAATACGCAGCGAAGTTAACAGCCCGGTCTCCCAGTCTATCAAAGACCAGCGTGTGGCTGCCTTTATCTCCGAGCAGGCCAGCCTATGCAACAAGGGTCTATCGGCTACAGAAGATAACCTTCCACCTTCTCGACCAGCCACCCACCCGCATAACGCGGGTCAGACCCAAGCTGCTGCTTCTGCTGCTATTACGCCACACCAAGCTCTTCAGGGCCCTTGGAAAAGCGATGTACCGTTACGACAGAGCTCTAAGTCGCCCTTCTACCCCCCTCCAACTCCCCAATTTAGCGGAACACTTCCGCAGCAGAACCCCAAACAGGATTTTACGTCTCCCGCGCACCAGCCCGTCCATGGGACGCCTTACAGAGGTGACCATGACCATTCTACAACCACCGGCCTCATCAAATATCTTGCTCGCAACCACTTGGTGACTTCAGGTCTCACCACATATGACGACCAGCCAATAAATTATTGGGCCTGGAAAACATCGTTCCAGAACGCCATTACCAATCTAGACCTGTCTGCCGCAGAAGAACTCGACCTCCTAACCAAACACCTGGGAAAGGAGTCAACAGAGCAGGTAAGAAGAATAAAAGCGGTCAACATCAGGAATCCAACTACTGGACTGTGCTCGGCATGGGGGCGCCTCGACGAAGTATATGGCTCGCCAGAAGCCGTCGAACAAGCTCTGTTCAGCAAACTAGAAAGCTTTCCAAAGCTCACAACAAAGGATCCATGGAGGCTCCGGGATCTAGCCGACCTGTTGTCAGAGCTACAAGCCGCCAAGGAAGATGGCTACCTCGCAGGCATGTCGTACTTGGATACCTCCAGAGGAATTAAGCCCATCATCGAGAAACTTCCATACAGCATACAAGAAAAGTGGCTATACCACGGGACGAGATACAAACAAGAACATTTCGTCAGCTTCCCACCTTTCTCCGTGTTGGTGAACTTCATCCGCACCGAGGCGAAAGCACCTACGGACCCAAGTTTCAACCTCTTCATGCCAAGCCCTCCAGCCGAGAGAAGGAATAAATGGGAGCGGCCCACGAAGACGTCCGTTCACGCCCACAAGACACAGGTCTCAGGCACTGCCAAGTCAGAGTCTAAAGAAAGCAGGGAACGCATCGACCCGAATAAACATTGCCCCCTGCACAAAAAGCCCCATCCTCTGAGGAAATGCAGAGGTTTCCGTGAGAAGAGCTTAGACGATCGCAAACAGCTTCTGAAAGAACACTACGTCTGCTTTCGCTGTTGCTCGTCAACAGAACATCTTGCAAAGAACTGCACAGCCGAGATAACATGTACTGAGTGTGGGAGCGCTGCTCACGTGACAGCTCTCCACCTCCACCCACCTACCTGGAAACCCAAGTCGTTCCCTTCCACCTCAGAGGATAGCGGGGAGGAGGACAAAGCGGATAACCAGGAGGTCAAGTCAACGTGCACACAGGTATGTGGGGAAGGTCTGAGTGCCAGAGCGTGTGCTAAGATCTGTCTCGTCAGGGTGTTCCCAAATGGACGCAGAGGGGAAGCCAAGAGAATGTACGCTATATTGGATGAGCAGAGTAATCGCTCTCTCGCGCGGTCAGAGTTCTTCGAAGCCTTCAAGATCTCTGGGCGCTCGTACTCATACACACTAAAGACCTGCGCGGGACGTACGGAGACATCGGGGAGGAGAGCCAGCGGCTACACCGTAGAGCCATTGGATGAGAAATTGAGTATTTCTCTGCCTACACTCCTCGAGTGCAACCAAATCCCTAATGTCCGTGCGGAGATTCCCACCCCCGGTGCAGCCTACCATCATGCCCACCTAAAATGCATCGCTGACAAGATACCACCTCCGGACCCAGACGCCAACATTCTTCTCTTACTGGGCAGAGATATCTTACGGGTCCACAAGGTCCGAGAGCAGATAAGTGGCCCAGGAGATGCTCCCTTTGCCCAAAGGCTCGACCTGGGGTGGCTCATTGTCGGGGATGTGTGCCTCGGAGGTGCTCACAGACCACTGGAGGTGAGAAGTTACAAAACAGCCGTTCTAAGAAACGGTCGTACAAGCCATCTCCAGCCATGTAATAACCAGATCAAAGTGACAGAGGTGTTTGAACAAGCACGTGACTATCAACAACATCCAGCGCGAACCCCGACAACACTAATCGGAGACAATTTGGGGCAAACCGTCTTCGCTCGCACTCCCAACGACCACAAACTTGCTCCATCCAGGGAAGATTTGGAGTTTCTAAGGATAATGGAAGCCGAGTGTTGCCAAGACAGCTCCAACAGTTGGGTCGCACCTTTGCCGTTTAGGTCACCGAGGCAGCGACTCCCCAACAACAGGAAAAAGGCTCGACCACAGATGAAAGCCGACTTCCTAGAGTTTATGGAGAAGACGCTCAAGAAGGCGCACGCAGAAGCTGCCCCTCCCATGCAACCTGGTCAGGAGCGTTGGTACTTGCCCCTGTTCGGTGTGTATCACCC